ATATTTCTGTATATAAACACTGACAAGTTTTGCGTTACATTAACAACGTTTCGTAATTTTTGACGTCTTTGCGACAGTTATTCATTTCTATTTGCCGATCAATTCCAAGTCGATACTAGTGCTTGTAAGTTTACAATTCCAAATTGTAATTTTATGATACACATCTCGGATAATTTTCCCGTGAACCTATGACTATTTTTCACAGAGACTCGAAACTGAGATGAATTGCCGTGATGCCGTTGCAAGAGTCAAGTTCTCATGCACAAGTTGGAAGTATATCCTTATCCACTCAAAATTGGTTGGCGTCTTAGGACGCAAAAATATTAGCGTCCTCTGATGAACGCTAAATTCTGGCGTCTTTTGACGCCAAGTATTGGCGCCATTTTGGAAGACGCCAAAAATTGGCGTCAAAAGACGCGAAGCTAGCGTCATTTACGATTGGACGCCAAATCTTGGCGTCTTTTAACGCCAATTTTGGTGTCATAAGACGCCAACCAGTTCACAGTGTCTTGGTGCTTGTTCGTGATATTTTACATCGTAGGAAAAAATGTGTCCTCCTGCAACAATGGGAATTTTCTTCGTCCTTGATAGACCGTTCCTAATCTGTTGGCGTTTTCAGATATAGCTATAATTTTACATTGTTCGCCATTTTATTACTTGATTTATAGTTATTGATTACTAGGGGTTCGGTCGAACAACCCCACTACAACGAGCGCTTCGATTTGTAAACGTTTCGCACGTAGCTAGCTTAAAACGTGCGTCCTTTTTAGTAAATGGGCCTGAGATCGCCGGCGCCTGGCTGCCTGGAGCCTTTGGCTTTGGCCGGGCGGCGCCTGCTGACCCACAAAGTGGACGCCAGGGGCCGTTTGGTTAACGATATTGGCTCCGAAATATTCGGAAGGCATCGGTTAGAAAGTGGTTTGGGTTCACACCTCGCTTGTCGGAGCTTGGTCCAGAGGGGCGGACCGTGCGGTCAAAGACGAACGAACTAGACGACGAACGGACAGATCAAGGGCACACAACTCTGAAACCTTTTTAAATACATCCGGCCAAAAATGGCAAAGTGACCGTGATGAAACAAATCTTTAAAACTAATTGCCTTTAACTATACACCCGACTTCACGTAATTGTTCAGCACCTTGTCTGCTTTATCATAAATTCAACAGAAATTCAATCCGGCAAATGAGTCACTTTTCAAAAAGTACACAGTGAAGAATGCCTGAGTCATTCTCAATATTTCTCATAAGTTTGGTTAACATATTGCTGTATATTTTCGATTGCAATATCGTAAAATTAAAATGGCTTTTGTGAACTTTTGCAAGAAGTCGTAATTCTACGATTTGTTTGTTAAAGAAAACTAAGTTTGATTCATCATATTTTTTCGTAATTTTAAAATTTGAATTTGTAATTTACGAACTGAGTGCGGTATTTATTTACGACTCACATCCTTTCAATATTGGCATAGGTGCACACATTTTATTAAAATGAAGGAAGCCTAAAATGTCAGGTGGACTGCGACACTTGTGAACAGGGCAGCTAGCGGACGGGAGGCAGTTAGATAGGCGGACGCAAGGAAATCAGTTAGCCAGTAGCCGCGGCATCTGCGGGGCAGAATCCGCGAGAAAGTGAGATGCCTGGGGGCCCAAGGTGCCGCGGCGGCGCGGCCAACCTGTATCTCTGTGAGCGCGTGCCGCCGCGTGCCACAGCGCACCGCGGCGCCACCCGGCCCGGCAGGCAGCGGTGCCAACCTGCACAGCAGACCTGCACAGCAGACCTGCACAGCAGACCTGCACAGCAGACCTGCACAGCAGACCTGCACAGCAGACCTGCACAGCAGACCTGCAGAGTAGCGCTGCTGGGCAGTGGAGGTTATCTGGGGCTCGTTTATGCCCAGCTTTAGCTCAAGCATTTCAGCTTTTAGTCATAAGTTCTCTGAAAAGTCGGCAGTGGCAGTGCACAGCTTACACTGGAAGCGGTTCTCAGAACATGTCGCGTATTATCTTGGCGCTTCAACAGTGTACTTTACTTAAATGTTTCACTGTGACCGGCCAATTTTTACAGTGACTTCGTGATGAGAGATATTTCAAGTGCCAGCATGCTCTCAACTACTTGATCCACGAAGAGAAACAACAGCGTTGATAAAGACAAGAACATTTTAATTCTATCAAACAAATATTGATCGCCTGGTTACATGATATATTCATGTTGCTGAAAGTGTGGTCGGTCCGATGAATTTTTGTTCTGATCATATTCTGTTAAAAATTCTTGATCAAATGTTAAGTTGGCCTCAAGGACTAAATTTTCATTCATTCAAAACTTATTTTTGGTTATTAGGACAAATCTTTTTTCCCAGTGTAACTTGCGGAGCTAGTTGCGCTCATGCTCCCCAGTGCGTTTGAGTCCCCGGCTTCGTCTCCCTGCTCCCTTCAGCTCACGAGACTTCGTCCGGCGGCCGGGGACTCTGCGACAGCCAAGGTCCTTCAAGGCTTTCTCCGAGCCGCTCACCTGTTGCGTCTGCCCCATATAAATGCATTCCCGTTAGCGCACACATTCAACTGCTTCCCGTTTACGCGCGACAGGAATGGAAACGCAACTTGGAAGTTTACACGCAAAGGCGCGTGCAATTTAATCGTACCTGAAGCCTTTCGTGTTCGTAGGTTTTGGGTGATTGCATTGGTTTCGCAAATTGCTGTGCTTTAACAGCGGACACGCACTTTTAATTAATTGTGTGTTCTTTCACTCCGTGGCTCAAAAGGCATAGCAGCATTCACTCTCGGTGCACCCTAATTAGCACATTCGCCTCGTCGTTAAAGTTTTAGACGCGACAAGTTTCGGACCATCATCTATCAACATTGTTATATTCCTTTTTAATGCATCCTCGGCCGGGAACACATTCTTCACCGGTTGTAAAACGGTTGTGAGCACCCCCCTCCCCCACCCTTGTCTCACCCTTTCTCTCTCAGATCCTCTCCTGCGGTATATTCGTAAGGTCACGTCTGCGATAAAACAAAAGGCGACTCTCACCCGCGAAGCGCTTGCTCATTTCGTTAAAATCCGTGATATAAACGCCTACACTGAACAACCAAGTGTGATGTAGCACACCTGCTGGCGAGTTAATAGATCTACGCTCTTGTAGGTGTGCGCACTTTTAGGGGAGCGAATAGCAATTGAATCACTTGAAGGTTACACTGTTAAAAATTTCTTGGGAATTCCCGAAGATTCACTTTCTACCACTAAAAGAAATTCCCAGAGGACTCCGTTCTTAGTTTTTTGTGTACTAAAACAGATTTTAAAAGGTGAAAGTTTTCATTCGTCTACATGTAACGAAGCTAAACTCGACACGTGAAATCTACAAAGTTCTTTGGGAAATCCCAAAGGACTTTGGCAATACTTTTCACGACTGTTCCTCCGTGAAATCCCAGGATTTTTTTTAACAGTGTAGAAAAAAAACAAAAAACAGTTTCGTAACTTGCCAAATATGGCCACTCGCTCATTTTAAGTTTACAGAACTAGGACAAAAGAATTTTTCGAAAAGTTCGAAAAAATCCGTTATCGATCTTTGTCTAGATTTGAAGTGAAGGGTTCAGCCCCGTGTATCTCGAAAATAAGCGAAAGAGCGCTGTTTCGAGCTCGTGAGCCGAGGGGAGGCTTCTTGAAGTATACGACTTCATTCATATTTTTGTCCAACTTTCCTCAGCAGCACCTTGAAACGTGCGTATACAGTACAATATGCACTACACATCCCACGAACAAAAGAAAAACTACCCGCTGCAGATATTAGTGCGACGACGAGACGTGACGAGATGGCGACGTCACGGTACGCCGTGTCACAGCGTAGTCACGGACGCATCACAGGCTCGGTCTAGTTCCGTATCTCGCGCCTTAAATGAAATTAAGTGCGACCTGGACCGTGTGAAAGGGACCCTCTTACTCAGTCTCGAAAATGAAAGTTGTCATCAGCCAGAGTGACTTTGCATTTGCACATTTCCATGCTTGATCCATGAAAATCAGTAGTAAATAAAAAATATATCGTTGTTTTGTAAGATTTGCAATTCTTAAAGTACCTTAAAACGTTAAATACGACATGGTGATTCGTCAACTTTTCGCGCTATGAGAGTGACGTCCTGTGTGACGCTGCTGACAGCATTGCGACCATTCACGTGTGGTGGGCTTGTTTATACTCTGGGCGAGAGTAACACTGAGTAAACCAGAGCAGCCCTAAATGCAAATGGAATCTCATCGGGTTTTGAAATAAAATTGCTGTTTGTAAACAGTTTTGACAACGTTTTCGGTATCTTCTTGTTGGTAAACCATCGTTGGATGTTTGCGAACGAAAGAGAGTAGAGGACTTCCTCACATTATTTAAAATGCATGACTTCATCTCTACAAACTATCCATGTCGTTAAGAGGTACAAAACTGACACTTAGCACAAAGCTATCTTGCTCTTCTCGTATTCTTAATTCTTGTAGTGCACATTAGACGTTTTGAATTTTCTAGAAAAATAAGACTGTAAGAGAGGCTGTAAGCAGGTTGAAAATCTTTCAACTGCTATCTGTTGTGCGCATGGCATGGCGACGTTATTTTGAAGCCTGACCACTGTAAAAAGTTTTCGTGATTTTACGAAAAAAAGTTACGTAATGCATCGTAAAAAGTAATTTACGAAAATATTTCGTAAGTGTCAATTTACGAAACATTTCGTAAAGTTACAAATATATTTCGTAACGGGTGCACATTTTTGGGTCATCATATATCATAGAATTTGATAGAATATATACAAATCCATAATTTTTAGTTGGAGCTTTGGATTTTACAAAGCAATTCGTAAAATAACCATTTGCCGTAATTGGATAAAACGAAGTTTTCGTACTAGAAAATTAACCGAGAAAATTTCGTAAAATCGTGATAATTATTTTTACAGTGATCGCAGTCTGGTCACGACGCGCACTAAACGTTTCAATCTGTCTCTCACCCCCCTTGCCTCTCGTACCAACGGTCTCACCTTGAGTAGCTTCATGTTAAGTCCAAAAGCGACGAGTTGGTTAAAATCCTTGTTGGGTCACTCTCACTTCACTTGCACTGGTACGCGATGGTGGCCGCGCGGCTGGAACCGACCGCTAGCGACACCGGCCTGGCGTGTTGTGAGTGAGGCCCGCCTACCGGCTCCAGCCGGCGGAGCCCCGCTCCAGCCGCACCTGTGCCGCCGCCGCTGGAGGGGAAGGACCGGGCCGCGAGGGGGGAGGGGGGCGCAGCTGGACCACTCAGTGCGGCCACTCAGTACAGCCACTCAGTGGGACCTTCCCGCACGTAGGTTATGTCTGAACACGTAATGTACGTCCTTTTTATTTTCTAAGGCTACACAATTTTTCATCACCTCAAATCTCTCTTATTTTTATTTTTATTAAATCAAATAGGGTTTAGTTCTGTCCTTGGACAAGCAATTCGTCGTTCGAACGAAACACTGAATAATAAAGTTCGCAACTGGCGTGAATGTGCAAGTACAGTACTCAACGCTATGTTGCACCCCTTTTAAGCGTTTGAATGCAATTTAAATACTAGAAAGTGTTGATCAGCATAAATTTGAACACTTCGAAGGGTTCAACTTAAGGGGTTGGCTTTCGACGTACTAAAGTGTTTAAATTTACTGTTAAACGCGTTTAAGCATTTCAATTTTTAGTCCGACACCTAAGAGTGTGCACCATAGATTTCAACCATGTGTGCATGCCAGTTGCACACTTCTGTTTTCAGTGAACGCACGATTCCTTCGCATGATTTATAGTGGCATATGGTATGGTACTCCTGTCTCGCTTGGCCTCTCGGCCACCTCACCTCTGGGTGAGGATGGGCTCGAGAAGTGTTGGCGGAGGGGTCGTGCAGAGGCACTGTGGTCAGCGAAAGTGATGTGAATCCCTTCTCACATCACCGGCGCCTTAAGCCGGCACACCGCAGGTGGCCGCAGGGGGCGCCGGGATGGTAGGCGGTCCGCAGGGGGCATGGCGTTAGGTCGACGGCCGCGAGCCGCGGTGGGCCTGGCCGGGCCGCAGTGGTGGCGGCGAGAGAAATGGCCAATGCTGCAGAAGCATTGCGTTGGTTTGGCGAGGGCACGCCTGTTAAACACCCCAATAAACCGTTTAACACAGTATTCGACTCCAAGTTGAACGCGAAAAAAACAACGTCTTGACATTCAAGCGATTGGAAAACGTTCCCATGTATTTTTTCCATAAGAGATGCTCGGCTGCTTGGAATCAAATCGACCACGACTATAACTTGGTTAACGTTACCGAAAACTTCGACAGAATTTCGGTATTAGTCAATTTGCATCTTATCATATGGTAGCTCGTTCGATAGCTTTTTCCACGAGGAAACTCATATTGTTACCCTCTTCAAAGTTATCCGTCGCACTTAAAGGAAATAGTAGCCAACCCTGTTTAGTTTTCAGAGCAACCGTGTGCGTGCGCGTGGAATGGCGTTTGTGCACTTTACATGAGGGTTGAGGCCACATCGACTGTTTATGCTCTTGAGTGCTGCTGATACACGGGGCGTCGTCGTCAGCCCTAGGCGTTTAGGGTGTGACGTAGTGGACACATTCGAGCCAGAGGTGACGGGACGAGAGTTGATGTGAGAGGCTGGGCGGAACGGCAAGGATCAAGCATCTATACGGGCGGCATGGTGGTGCTAATCCGATGTCTCGAGCGTAAAGCAAGAAGGCGAAGCATGTGCAGCCGCTGTCAAACCATGCGGATGCTAGCGCCCTCCAGGCTTCCTCCGGGCTCCCAGAGCTTGCCGGACCAGCGGCGTGCGAAATCTGTCACGTACTTTCAAAAAATTGAGCCAACCGCTTTCGCTGTTGAGCTTGCCGGTGGGACTGACCGCAGCGCTGCAGGGTGCGGCCTCCGCCTCACAGCCTCCTCCGCCACTTCCTGGCGCCGCTGGCCGCGCGCCCAAACATCTGGCTCGATACTTTCCGTGTAACAGTTTCGCGATGTTTATGCCCCCCGCGGCGGCGGTGCGCCGCTGCAGCAGTTCTGTGACCAAATCCCATATTCTGCGCGTTTTGTGCTCTTTCAGACCCGTGCTCCTACAGACTTCCCTTTCACCCATCATAATCAGCTGAGTCTGACATGTGGAGCTAATCGTTTGCTGCTTGAAAAGTAACAACTGAAGTGTGGAGATTTACTCTTTCGAGCCTACGTAATGAACGACATGCTTGTCCGACCTAACCAAGTAGTAGTAGCATGATCCATTTCGATACCTCCTAACCATATCCGCTTACCTGCGACGTGTCCCCGACAAACCCGCTTATCTGCAGCCTAGCGCCGACAAACTCGCTTAACTGCGCCCAGTGCTGGACAAACCCGCTTAACGGCATAGGATTCCCTGCACAGATAAGCGGGTTTGTCCAGCACTGGGCGCAGTTAAGCGAGTTTGTCGGCACTAGGCTACAGTTAAGCGGGTTTGTCGAGGATACGTGGCAGATAAGCGTATATGGTTAGGAGGTATCGATTTAATGCGTTAATATGGTATTATTTATACATTTTTGTTGCAGCACCAACCAATACACATTTTCACTATTGTGCGCTTTAAAAATCTGACTTTATTTTCTGTTTCGGGAAAAATGAAGTCAATTGTTGTGCTCACTGTAGAGAGAGCGATGAGCGGTGCTTCTTACCCCACGCATAGAAAAAATATCCTGCTAAATATATGAAAAATTACTCGTTTTGCACTAGAAGGACCGGGATTTTCGTATACCTAGAACCTAGAAGGACCGGAGGGGTCATTTTGACCCCTCTACGATTTTTGGCCGTTTTTATGTCTTTAAGACTGTCGTTTTACCGCACATGATTAAGGTTTTGTGTGTTTAAAGGTACCTGATGCCATGACGTGACTTTAGTTAGGTTTAAAGTGCGTTTAGGTAGGCAACCCGCACGGCATAAAACAATTTTTTGCAATTTTACAGCTATTTCTGTTAACTGTTTACACCATTTAAGACATTTTTAAACTTTAACACGTTCAGTGCGGCGTGACCCACACCGTGGGTCACAATAACATGGGATTGCCTACCCCCGCCGCACTCAACGTGTTAAAATTAATATCTGACTTAGTACACATTTATAATCACGTGATCTTTAGAACACATAAGTACTCTAAAAGCGGGAGTGTGATTCACACAAAAACATTTTATTTTTTACCAATTTGGCACTGACAACAATGTGCGTGGCAGTTTTGGCATTCGCAAAACCATCCGTATTTTGTGCTAGACGGCCCCCTTTGCCATCAGAACACGAGTCCGGTGACGCAACTACCACTAAAGCCTTGGATGTGTTGTCATTTAGAAATGGGGTTTTGTGACGTGCGTGTTGCCTACCTTCCCTGAATGAAGGAGTGAAAAAGAGTCACATGGCCGACCAAAAGTCATAAGCCACCGTACATAACAAATACGGTCAGCCTTATGATGGAAAAGTAAGTCCTCGTCAGTTTACACTTGTAAAATCTCGTGAAGGGGTCAAAATGACCCCCTCGGTCCTTCTAGGTATAAGTAGCAATATCTTCCAAAGTTCCTGTCGCAGAGACCTCCCATTTTGCGTCCAAGCGTCTATCGGTAGTACATGAAAAGTCGGAAAGTGACGAATCGCTCAAAAAAATAATTCGTTGTTCCTTTGGCAATTAAAGATCAAAAGGGGTCATTTTGACCCCTCCGGTCCTTCTAGTGTTAAACCGGTATATACAGGCCTGTTACCGATTATTTGCCGTTCCTTTTTCAGTACCTATTTTCGATTTTTACGGAGCAGGAATATATTCAAAAGTTTCTTACAGCCTCACATTATTGATAATTCAATATTTTATCAGTATGTGTATGTATGCATGTATTGTACAGAACTGTACGGAATAATCGTAATTTCAGATGAAGACAATTTCGGTGTTTTAACAGACAAAAAAAAAAAAAAAAAAAAAAAAATACGAGTAGGGCTACAGGTACTGGTCCTGAGAGTGTGTGGTGCTCCCCCGGGCCGTCCTGTGCCCGGTACCCGGGCCATCCTGTTCGCCTGTTGTCAGGCCTGCTGGTCGGCCACGGTCCGGCCCGTCCCGGCCCGCCGGTACTCTAATATACACGTACAACTCGGCCGATTTGTTGTTGCCGCACGTTTTATCCTGTTTCCGTCTCGCAGAGGATCCGGTTGGCGGCGGGCTGGCTCATGGCCTGGCTCATGGCCTGGCTGCAAGCTGCTCCCGGCGGAGATTATTTGCACGGCTGCAACGCCGCGGCTGCTTGTGAACGTGGTGATTATTTGCAACACGACAGGTGGTTAAGCGTCAGGAGGATATTGAAATTGGACCACACTTTAGGTTTGAGTTCGATGTGCTCTTAGCTTCACTATCATCTTGTTACTACTGATTCCCCTCCCCTCATCCCCTATGTACACTGGTAAAACAAGAGTTTAATTTCGCTCGTCAATCATTGATATATAAGTTCAAGTGTGCATAGTTTGGAGAGCAACTAGATTTTTCGTCAGTTGTTGTTTAAAGTTGTGGCACGGCACGTAAGTGGTGTCCAATTGTGCAAAATCTATACGCTTACGAGACGTCTAAAATTTGCGCATCACGCCAGTTGTGGAACGTCATTTAGTCCCTACGTAATGTGCAAAATCATGATCTGCATGTGTTTTACCTGTCGCTTAACCTTCATAAGCTACTCACATTTTTTTCGTCATAGCACACCCCAAAAAATGTTTTCTCAATTCCAGTATTGAACTTGAAATTTTGAGCCCCCGTTTCTTGTTTTAAGGAACAAATAGGACTTAAAACAAGAAATGGGGCTCAAAATTTTAATAACGATACTTGAATTGAGAACACGTTTTTTTGGGTGTAATACTTATTTATATTTGGCATCCTGAAGTGGCGTTGCGCGGACTGCTCGCCGTCGGTTGCGGAAGGACGCGTAAACTTCTATTTGCAGTGTTTTCCATTCATTGACCACTGGCCACTTCTCGTTGCACAATCGCTCTCTTTCTCTCTCTCTCTCACACACACACTCACACACACACAGGCGCGCGGGGAAGGGGGGCTGAGGGCGAGCTGCTCTGTCCGTATACGTCCACTGCACGTCCAGCACTCGCTACACATTGTGTATATGTGCGTGTCACTATGCCGCTC